CGCCCTCCCGAGCAGACCTAAGGGACAGTCAGCGCCAGCGTTCAAACGCCCTGCGTTTACTTAGCTCAGCAGCTAGATCACCAGGGAAGTCTTGCAAAATGCCTGGAAGCACAAGAAGTCACACGGCCAGGAAGCCAGTTTTTGTACCACATGATACAGATGTAGCCAGATAAACAGTCACATCATCACTGCAAAACCGGGCTGGAAAGAAGAGTCATCATCGAACCCTTCCTAAGTACAGGAACGTTTCATTCCTGCGCTCTTCACTCTTGCTCTTCAAGGCCTCGTATCAGCCATGTGATGCTCCTGCCATCACCGTCGCCCCTTTTCCCATGGGAAATGAGCACGTCCAGCTGCTGTGGGTGCAACGAGATGCCCAGTGCTGCACGGTGGAAAAACCCACCTGCACGGGCCGTCGCACAGAACCGCCTGCCCCACAGCAGCTGCAGGGACCCCTTCCATTTGCTCCTGCAGCTGCCACCTCTCTTAAAAGGGACAGTGTTTTCCTGCAAGACACTGACTGACAGTGACAAAGGGGTCGGTAAACAAAGCCACGAGCGATGTAGGGCTGTGATCTGCAGCGCAGATAGCCCTGCTGCTAAATAGACCTGCCCTCCTCCCTTCCATGGGACACAGCCGTGGGATGTCCGAGACCCCCACCCTGATTTCAGACAACGTCCTAGCAAAAGGACAGAAAAGGAAAAAACCCTCTGTCCTCACCGTCAAGTCCCATGAAGTACAAACCACTACTGCGAGATGATCTTAAAATCCCATTAAACCATTGAGAGTTCTGCACGCACCATGAAACAATTTTTTTTGTGCTTTTCCAGTTCTCTTTGGAAGCTGGAAGAGAAAATGTGATCTAATGGGATGCACACAACACGGGAGAGAAGGCATTGACCTCTGGTCTTAGATAATGAATGTGTCTATAAGGCAAAGGAACGGGCTACAAAGACCAAGGGATAATGGGATCCGTAAGGCAAAAAGAAACGAGAACTTGTTTCAATCATGTCATCTCGGATATCTACACACTAACAGCACCAGTTAACGGCATCTGAGTCCTCTGGGCTAAGAACGTGGGTACCAGGCACAAATAACATCAGGGCAAGTTTCTCTGTTTTTTCGCTGGCGAGATGGGAGGGAGGTGACTGATCAGGGCACACAGATGTTGCCTTGTTCCCTCTGAGACGAAGATTGTGTCTTGCACAACAGTTATAACAAAAAAATCGATTTTAAAATGTTCTGGCACGACGGTCTCAACCGAAGCAGCACAGTTTCAGCCACCAGCATTGCCCTGTGCCAGCGGGGAGGAAAACATCAAAGCCGCGACACTGTGCAAGGGTTACAGGAGCAGAAAGTGAAACCAGCCTCTCGCTTTCCGTTATCAAAACAGCAAAGTACAAAACACGACTTTCCGGGTCTGATCTTAAACCCAGCCTTGATGTTTACATCTCATTTGAACTCGTTTCTTTTAATATGCTGAGAGCTCTTTCCAGAAGACACGAGGGTTTCTGTAGAACACAATATTGCTAAATTATTTTTCTTGGCAAGGCTCACTGAATGACAAAGCAGAAACGGGACTCTCCCCTCTCCACAGCAATACCTGCAGGCGACGCGCTGGACAGGCTCAGACCACCGATAAAGAGGACGTGCACGAGCAATTTTGCTGCGTTGGCTTTATCCCGATGTTATTCCCAGGCTCTGCCAGGCATTGCCCGAGCGCTAAAAACACAACGGCTTCATCTCAGGGGAGGAAAGAAAAATCTGCCACTGAAGTCTGCTGCCACGGAAAGCGCGCCGCCGCAGGGTTTCACTGATGGCAGGATTACTGCTCCTGGGCAACCTCCTGCCAGGTTTGATTTTAACAGTTCTGGGGAAATTCTCTGCCTCCCGTAACTGCGTTCTGTTGTTAAAGAGACGTCGCATTCAGCACCTCGAAGGAGCTGTTCTTCACTGCTGGGAAACATCTTTTTCCTTTCGCTCTCGCGATTCATTTCAGCTGCTTTAGGACGAGCGCTATGACATAAACGTTCCCCCCCTCTAGTAAGGACACTCCAAGTCATTGTCTCCAAGGTACTACCAGAGGAGCCCTTCAGAAGGCTCACTGTATGTAAAAAGCATACTTGCCCGGAGATAACAAGATTGCACTCAAAATAGCGGCCCTCTGACCTTCTTTAGGAACGCATCACAAGGAGCTAAAGCAAGATCGCGGCTTGGCCGAGGGAGCTGGTTTGCCCGCCGGTTCAGCGGTACTCATCCTCCCCGGCTGCTGAGGGACGTCTTCCAACTCCCACCAAAGTTCTGCAATATAAAAGTCCCTCAAGATTTCCTGCTGCAAAATCAATTCCAACTGAGACAAACGTACTTATCTACGGGATAACAGCTTTGCCCTGTGCACGACGACAACAAAACAGGAGCCATCTTATTGCTCTCTTAATAGAGGTCAGTAAATCTGCGTGGCTGACAACTTCACGTCAGCTACGGAAAAGGCAGAAACCTCAGACCTATGTCCAGACAACCCATTCTCAATGCCATCCGCGCGTTCTGTCCCAGCTCCCTCCCTAATCACATCCGAACAATAAAGTGTCCTCAAACCTGACCACACACCTCCCAGCAGGTGTTAAACTGCCATTCAAAACAGCATGAAATGTGACGTTTAAATTGCAAAAGACATTCCGCCTGATGATTTCACGCTCCTCTGAATTAGGCACTTCACGCGTTGGCGGAGGAAACATCAATATGATGCTACTACGGGCAAATGCACAATTGCGGGGTTGCTCCCAAGATACGCGCGTGAAACACCCAACACAGTGAAGAACCGCTTTTCCCTCCAGTTTTTGCTCTCCGTGACCCCGCAAATATTCATTTATGAAGTTTTTCTTGACGGCTTATTCCTCTTGTTCCTCTCCTCTTTGGGGAGGGGGTGCAGGAGTACGGATGACAAGAGTGACGACACGACTCCCGGCGCAACTGCCAAGCTCGCAGCATCCAACGGGGCTCGGGGTTTGGAAAAGAAGAGACGTTACACGAAAATGGGGTCGGATTTTCTTTTCACTGCACTTTTTTGGAGAAATGCCACTGTTAAACCTCACTGAGGGACCGATGGTGCCCAGGCACCCCGCTGCCGGGGGGGCGGGGGGGTACTTAGAAGATACCAAAGTCTTCCCCAAGGGGTTTTGGAAGCCCCACTTGATACCCCATAAAACCAGTTTACGCCCAGATCCCCGCGCCCCCAGAAGGGGGATCCGCCACCGGTTGTGCAGCCACGGACACGAACGCCCCGCCGGGGCCGGGCTGTGCTCGTTCGGGGCCGCTTTTGGGGATGTCGGGAGGGGAAATAAACCAACCAACGGGCCGCCGACCGCAG